GGAAAAAGCATTGCTTGAGTTGCTTGATGATTTCCATACAGGAAAGTTAAGCGCATTTGGTTCTGGTTGTAGTATGGAACAAATGATCAATATAAGAGATCAGCAAGAACACTTAGCAAGGCTACATTTTCGTTTATATGGTGATGCTGAGAAACCCACTGAAGATGGCTTTGATAACTCTGACTCTAAAGACAAAATGACCCAATTAGTACAAAGTTTGGAACAACTGTCTGCATCAATAGAACATTTACATTCCGATGGTAGTGTTAGCTCTAGTTGTAATGATAATAATAAATAATTGTAAAAGTTGTTGTTGCATGTTATTTATGTGTTAAGCTAGTAGATTAATACAACACTGCATGACTTTGTTATTAGATCAGGTTATTTCATCTGAAGAGAACAAAAATTATAGTGAAAACACTATTATAGTGTTGTAATTTAAACAATATTTTTACTACGAGGGGTAGGTAAACTATCGTACGGTGTTGGGAGAGAGAGGGGGGGTCATGGGAAGCCCCCCTACCCTTTCCCCATTGTGGAAATGTATAGTTTGAGTAATAATTTTTTTTTAAACCGTAACCTCACCTTTTTATACAGGAATATTGATGCAGTTACTTCTGCAACGGCTGCGGCACTGCGGGCAGTGCAGCCCCTTTGCCCTTGCGTAGCAAATCGCAGGCACCCATATACAGTGGGCGGGGGCTAATCTCCCTCCTTGCCTACGGCTTTATAAAAACACTAGGGGTAGGGCAGTCAAGACTATGTGGAGTCGGGGTGTGCTAATTCGGTTTTAGAACTGATTCGACCAATTTCATCTATAAGGTTGCCCTTAACTCTACTATTAGTTGGTAAATGAAATAATGTAATGTAAATTGTTATAATTTTGTTTTCTGAAAAACCTCTTGACTGCTCTCCACTGCGACTCAATTCTCTCGACAAAAGTCTCCAGCCACAAATGTATTGTATGGGTCCGAGTGAGTAATTTTTTTATGAGTGTATCTGTGTTAAAAAACAAACTGACATATTTGCGTTTTGTTATATGCAATTTTTAGTGAATTTTATTATATATATCTTAATTCAAAAGGCATTTCTGAAATCTAAAAATAGTGTAAATGGTTCGAGCTTAATTCTGACAATCATCTTAAAATGAAAACAAAATTAAAAAATCAAGTACCAAGAGAACAAATTGACATATTTGCGTTTCGTTATTACACAATTTTTACTGAAATTTGTTTTTATCCTAATTAATTCAAAACACATTTCCGACATCTAAAAATAGTGTAATAAACAGTGAAAAAACATTATCAAAATCAAGTATCAGATGTCTATAGCCAACCCCGAGGGGCACACTGAAATGATCGGGAATAAGAAAAACCACATGCACGGTATGACTAAATTGTATTTTATTGTTTTTGAAGTATTCTCTGTTCAACTTAATGCTCTTTCCCATTCATCATTACAGCCCTTCACAAGTCCACTGCTGAACATAGGCCTCCCCCAAGTAATGCCACAAAGCACGGTCCTGAGCCACCTGCATCCATCGACTTCCTGCATGTCTTACCAGGTCGTCACTCCATCTAGTGGGGGGTCGCCCTATACTACGCCTACCGGTACGAGGCTGCCACTCGAGAGCCTTTCTTCCCCATCGGTTATCGGTTCTTCGAGCTATATGGCCGGCCCATTGCCACTTCAGCTTACTAATCCGTTGGGCTATGTCGGTCACTCTGGTTTCACTGCGGATATCCTCATTTCTGAGTCTATCACGCAGTGAAACTCCGAGCATAGCCCTCTCCATAGCTCGCTGAGCGACCTTGAGCGTCCTCATACAGCCAGCGGTGAAGGACCACGTCTCAGATCCGTAAGTCATCACTGGCAACACGCACTGGTTGTACACTTTAGTTTTCAGAGATTGAGGTATACCTGATGAGAAGATGTGTCGTAATTTCCCGAACGCTGCTCAGCCGAGTTGAATCCGTCGATTGACCTCTCGGTCGAAGTTGGACTTACCTAGTCGGACTATTTGTCCCAGGTAAACGTACTCGTCGACAACTTCGAGCATAGTGCTCCCAACAATTACTGGCATAGGCGTGACATGGACATTAAACATGATCTTTGTTTTGTCCATGTTCATCTTAAGACCTATCCGTTGGGAGGCACCATTGAGGTCATCATATGAAGCATAGTGCTAAGGTCCTCCAGCGATTCTGCCATAAGGACTATATCGTCGGCAAATCGAAGGTGAGTGATGTACTCGCCATTGATGTTAATACCATATCCTTTCCAGTCCAGTAGCTTGAAAACGTCTTCCAACGCAGCGGTGAAGAGTTTCGGGGATATAACATCACCCTGTCTTACACCTCTCTGCAGTTGGATAGGTTTCGTACTCTGGTTCTGTACTCGGATAGCCATCGTAGCCCTACTGTACAAACACTTCAGCACTTCATTATACCGATAGTCAACTAGGCACCGCTGAAGAGACTGTAGCACCGCCCAAATTTCGACGGAATCAAAGGTTTTCTCATAGTCCACATACGCCAGGCAAAGTGGCAGATTGTACTCTTCGGACTTCTGTACAATTTGCCGAAGGGTATGTATGTGGTCTATGGTACTGAAGCCTTTTCGGAAACCGGCTTGTTCGGGAGGCTGGAAGTCGTCGAGTCTGCGTGCGAGACGATTTCGTAATGACTCTCGAATACAGCACGTAGACGCGGCTCAGAAGGGAAATCGGTCTGTAGTTCTTCAAGTGAGCGTTGTCGCCTTTCTTAAAGAACGAGACCACCGCGCTTCTGCTCCACGCCTCCGGAGTAATGCCACCATGGAGGACGGAATTGAAGAGCTTCTGAAGGACTTCAAGTACCGGTGTTCCACCCGCTTTCAGAAGCTCCGCTGTAATTCCATCCTCGCCCGGGGCCTTGCCGTTTTAAGGTGGTGGAGAGCCATTCTAATCTCGCTCCGACTGACGGCCGGGATATCATCGGAATAGTGTCGGATAAGACTTGCTCTTGGATCGTTACTCACACTTGCGTGTGGCTCCAATGATGATGATTCCATTACTGCAAACCAATCATTAAACAGTAATTTCAGTCTGAAGTTGATGTTGACAACAATGGCTGATTTGTACACTTCCACAGCTGCTTCTGGGTCTTCAAACCGCTGCCCGCGTAATAAATCTTTCATTCTAGGGAATGTAATAAAATCATTTGGACTAAAGTCAGGACTGTACGGAGGGTGGCTCATTAGCTCTACGTTTTCCTGCTTTAAAAAATCATTTGTCTTCCGAGCCGTATGGGAGCTCGCATTATCGTGATGTAACGTTTCTGGTTATTTTTTCGGAGTTCGGCTATCATTTCTGGCAAACAAACCGTGATACACCACTCAGCGGTAACCATTCTGCATTCCTGTAAAGGAATTGTAGCAACATGCCCCTATTTCGAGACAAACGTAGCAACCATTTTCTTTGACACACTGTGGGAGCGAACCACTTTCGTTGGTTTGGCCTCATCTTCAAAGACCCAAACTGCTGACTGATGTTTTCTTTCAGGTTCAAGGTTCTGCAATAAAATATTATTGTGTGCCCAGCGAAGAGCATGGATATCAGCTAGTATGTAATATGGATAACAAACTGTTTTGAAGCACTAAATTAATCAACACCTAAAAGAAGAATATTAATACTATGGTTTGATGAAAGTAGCTGTTACCTGCGGTTAACTGTAACCACATCAAATTTCATGGATAGTGTTCAGTACTTTTGAGGGATACACGGAGTCGAAAAACCACTAAGTTTCAGTATCCTCTATACCTTTGGACCTATAATTTCCTGTACATATTAGAACTAAACAACTTTTCTACAGATATATTATCTACTAGGATAGAATAAATAGAGAAATTGTTAGGGTCCCAACAAACAACACAAACAGGTCAAAACAACCAAGCAGTTGGTGTCTTGCAGGCTTACAGCCATCTGTATTGAAATTAGAATCTTTTTAATTTCTAGATTCACAAACCGTCCTCAGTAGAAATTTTTGTTCCTTTTGAAAGAATTTAAGATTCATGTAACTAATGCAATGGGAAGGTTAATTCTGAATATGTTCACAGATTTATTCTAATAAAAATATTTTAAATATTAAAAAAAAGAAACACTAATTTCATGAATTTATTTAAATTAGTAAATTTTAAATGGCTAATACTAATCAAATTAGAGATCATTTTTATAAGTATAGAAACAGTGAGTGTGTTTAGCAGAAATAAGCACTAGGACGTGCTAGTAAGCAAAATGGCGAAACTATACAGTTTTTGGCCAGAACATGTTTGCTAACTTCAGTAGCACTGACACATTTTGTTTGTTTTGAAGTAGAGTTTATAAGTTATTTTGTGCAATTAGTTCCAAGTAATATAATGATATGATAAAAATTCATGATTAGTACCTAAGTTTTTAATTTTTTTTTGTGTTGCGTGTTTTTTTTTTTTGTTGTTTTAATCGGGGGGAAAAAGTGGGGGTGCAACTGGTTTTGGGGTTAATATACTTTACAAACATATATTTAAATTAGGTTAGGTTCCCTAGTTAAAGCTATCTTAGTGTCCTAGAGGAAAATAGCTATTTACCATTTGACAGCGCTTACCGCTTACAATTGCCATTTTGATTACAAGCGCTTCCTAGTGCTTTTTCTGCCAAACACAGCCAATACTGTTTAAAAAAAAAACTTAAACTTATTTGCCTTCTAAATGGAAAATTTGTGGGTACATAAATATTAACAGGTTCCCTGTCCGCAAAATAGACATAATAATTAAACAATCTAAATGTTCATATATGATTCATGGGACAGAGAAAGAGTTAATAATACCTAAGGTTACAATAATTCTTTGAACATCAATCTATGTAAGTACATTCTTTCTTATTTCTTACTATATAATAAAAACCATCATCACCTTGAGCCTTAGAACATCAAATTGAAAAAGGTAACTATAAAACTAAGATCATGGGTAATAATATTATTTTTTGTTTACAAATAAAGGGGATGATACCCAGGATTACTTAAACCCTTTCTACAAGTTGGGCATTTCCGGCCATTAGCTGCAAATGCTGCTGTAATACATACCATGCAAAATATATGTCCACAAAAAGTTGATACCACAACACGGTTACTGAGACAATCCATGCAGATGGGGCATTTACCAAGATTTATTTGTGAGCTTTTAGATTTTTGTTTTGATTTCTCTCTTAAAATGTTTCCTGAATTTACTTCTATTTTATCACAACAGTAACTTTGTGAAGGGTTGTCATGTTCATTTACATACGAGTAAATTGGGTTGTTTCTGGTTTCATGTTGTATGAACTCAGGTTTTATTTTGAAACTTACACTAATTTTTTCAAACATTCCATCATTAATTGGATTGGACAAAAAATTACTGATTACTTCTGAAATCAATCGATTACTTTCCTTGGAATGTTTAGGAGACAAACTTTGAAAATCTGGAGCTTCAACACCATACTTTTGAAGACCGTCGCAAGAACCATTTAGAACTGAATTGTCATCGCGGGAAGTACTAGGCAGAGGAAAACTGTCATGGCTCATTCTATGGTGTCTCCTACTAGTCCCAGTGTTGTTGACATGGTCGTCTTCAACATTGCTTAAGTCTTCATGTGTCCTCATTCTAGAAGGATTTTGACAATTAATAATTTTTGAATTGGTGTGATTTGTTTTGTAAGTTCTACAAGGTACAGCTATAGATGATGGTTTTTTATCAAAAGCTTTTTTATTCTGAAAATTTGAATTTCGGTTTACAGGCTCGAGCTCAACAGTTGTGTTGTTGCTTGAAGTTGAGCTTTCATTTACAGTTTTGTCCATTGACAATGGCATGACATTTGTATTGTTTTTTTTATTTAGTTGATTTTTTTCACATTTCTCTGAAGTTATTGAAGTTGTTAACGACATCTGCTCGCTGTTTTCAGAATCTTCAAACATTTTTTCTAAGTCCGCCAGTGATGGCATCGGCTGTTCACTTATTATATTTGGTTTAGTTGTGGTTTTTTTATTTTTATTTAGTAATGACAGAGTACTGTTCTCTAAAGAGTCATCAAATGGGAGTGTATTCGTAGATTTCGCAAGTATATTCTTCTGACTGCACTTGTTTATGAGTTTTCTTGTGGAGGTGGAACTCACATCTGCTTTTTTCTTATATCTTGCATTTTGAGATGACGAATGCCTTTTCCGCGTATATTTTAGTTTAGGCATTTTAGAGATCAAACTGTAGATTCACTATCTCTTGTTGAAAAGTGAGGATGGATATTGTTGTGTACTACCTATATTACTATTTTTTTGAGAGATTAAATTCAACAGATTCAATAGGTAATTAACGTTTTTAGATTATATAAGAGTATTCCGGTCATAGATTACTGACTATACATAGATTACTGACTATATTGATTCCGGTTGTAGACAGAGATAGCTTTCTCTGTCTACGATTCCGGTAATTTATTGATATTTTTATTTTTTAAAGCTCTCGTTCACAGACTACTAAGACCATGGAGGTTAGAGAACAGGTGAACGATCGCTGTAGAAAATAATGTCCCAGAATATGGACGTAATAAGTGAGGCGCTGCGATCGCTAAGTTGCCTCAATATGCGGGCTGTTGTGCGCTAGTTTGAAATGATTATAGTATCATTCAAAGAAAAAAACAAAATTATTATTATTTATTAATAAACAAATTAATTTTATTTTTTTAAAATATATAAATTATTACAAATATATAATATTTATAAAATATATTTGTAATAATTTATAATTAATATTATAAATTATTACAAATATCAATTATTAATAATTCATTATTATTATTATCATTTTAATATTATTTCACCATTTTTTAAATATTTCTTTTTGTCAATAATTAAAAAATTACTTCGCAGAAACTACTTACCGACGGCAGCTCGGCTATAAATTCTAAAAATTTCCAGGGACAGGTGGGCTATGCTTTAGCACGTAGCGATCGTTCTCCTGTTCTCTAACCTCCATGACTAAGACTAAGAGGACAATACTGAAATATTTTGGAGTGTAGAGGCAAGGAGTACAGACTCTGTATAAAAAAGTGTCCGTAGGAAGGGTGGCCCCACTGTGGCTACAGTATAAAATTTAAAGATCTTTTTATAATTTTTCGATTCTTTTTACAATAATTTGCTTTCAAAATTTTTATTCTCAAAACCACTATCAATGTATTTTACGGCGATTTATCATAGCCCTGTTGCTACTCGAGCGCTGTTGTGGAGATTTTTTGAACTTTAAATTGCTTCTTTCACATGGACACATTTTTACATAGAGTACGGTCGAGTTCGTTGACCTCAACAGTCACAATTCGTAATCGTCCGATTGTTAAAATTAATTACACGGGATAAAGTGTACTTACATGAGATTAATCTATATCAGTGTATCGAGAAATTATCATATTATCGACTGTTGAATTTTGTTTTTGGTGACGCTTGTTATCGTGCATGCAATCAGTGAAGTTTTTTACATATTTTTAAAAGGTGAACATAAACTTATCATTCAATAGACTTAGTTAACGCGTTTAGTGTACCCTCTAACGTCCATCAATCTCGGCCAATAGCAAGCGACTGCGCGCGCATCTCTGCCCTACGCGAAGTGCATATACGTGCATTACATTTACTTAAACCGGCAAGCGCCTTGCCGTTTAACTGCGCACTAAAAACTTATCTATTGCAACAGCTGACGCTTATTGATAGGAACCGACGTAAACAATGTCTTCTCAGTGTGGAGCTTGCTTATCTGACATCGGTAGCTTAGATTTGTTTATGGGATGCTATAGATGTAAAACCGTTTACCACATTTTATGTATCAATATCTTGGAAAAAGAATATGAATTGTTCACGGATGAATTTTTATCAAGCTGGCTATGCCCTAACTGCCACTGCAGGACTCCTAAGGGTGATAATTCCAACACTCCCATTCGCACACCTAACTCTGAGCTGCATTTAAATGTCACCACCGGTCCATCAAAACGCAAAGCCCCACTATCAATGAGAACCAGAAGCCCACGTTGGAATTAATAAACGGCAATATTCTCAAGCTTGCATCTGAAATACATCTTATGAGGGAAGAAATGACTGAAATGAAGGGCGCTATGCAAACAGTCTCGCAATGTCTCTTGGCCTGTACCTCAAGGCTGGACTCATTGGAAACGCGTATGTCAAAAGCCGAAGGGAAACTTCAGGTTTTGGATGAAAAGGAATCTGACATATATTCTTTCAAGGCCACCATTTCAATTTTCCAGGAACAACTCAACACTCAGTCACAATCCTCACTACGAAATGAAATGGAGATCATGGGCATCGTGTCAGTCAGTCAGACACGAAAATGTCGGTGAGGACCTGCAACACATTGTCCTCGTTACGGCTTCTAAGATCGGCATCACCCTAGACATTAATTTCGTTGTTCGTCAAGACCGAATCAACCAGGAAAGTTAATTTAAATGACCCCGACCTGTCATAGTGCGCTTTCTAAGAAAAGACAAGCGTGATGAATTTTTAAGGGTGACGAAAGCTAGACGTGACCTCACCAACTTAGATATTGAAGTTCAAGGACCTCCTAGAAAATTATACTTCAACGAACATCTTACAAAATATAATCGCCAATTGTTTCGGGATGTTAGAACTCGATCAAAAGAAGCGGGTTATAGGTACTGCTGGATCAAAAATGGAAAAATTCATATCCGAAAGCACGAAGGTAGTCTAGCCCGCACCATACGAAGTGCTTCTGACATGGACCGGCACCTCGTTTCCCAGGACCATGAGTGTAACCCATCTTCTTTTCCACACCAAGACAATAAATCAAATTAGCCTGCTTTGCTTGTTATTAAGTTCATGTTTGTTTTGTTGCATGTTATTATTATTCGATGTTAATGGTAATGATTTTTTGCAGCAATATTATGAGTATTATTAATATTTTTCTCAAATTTTATTGTTAAGTTATGCCAAACGAAAGTGAACAGAAGTATTAGTTTTCCGGTAATTGTAAAAATAAAACTATTACTTCAACTATTCATAACTTATGTATTTAATAATAATCTTTACTTTTTTACAAATAGTTATAATAGACTCGCTAAAGAATTTCCTTCTAAATCATATTATGTTACACATATTTGTAATTCAAGCAAAATACTACTATTGAATATCGCGAAGAAAAGGCCTTATCTTTTATTGCTTATATTCGAATTCCGATTAAAATATACCTCTGTGATTAAGACTATGACTGGCTAAGTTCTTTGGTAACAAAATGTTTGTATTCCTACCAGTTTATTAGTGACAAGCTCTGTCTTAAATATCTCTTTCTATTAATTTTTTATATACTACGGTCGCCATAGAAATTCAAAACGATATAGAAAAAATCTTTATCGATTGTCACTCACTGGATAGACTAGAATATTGTAAGAAAGTTTTTCAATCAAACGATTTTAAACTTCTCACTTTTAATATACGTAGTCTTCAACATAATTTTAATGATTTTTTGGTAGTCCTAAAGAGATTAAATATAACATATGACGTCATCATTCTGACTGAATGCTAGCTGCTGATAGCTCAGTAATTGGGCAAATAGCCGGTTATAAGTCCTTTAATACTAAAAAGTATATCAATAAAAGTGGGGGAGTGGTTGTTTACATTAGGTTGAACAAGTGGATGCCCTCTGTGCAGGAGCCCATCTTTGATGAGGCAAACTGCCTTAGGGTTGACTTGGATAACTCATTGTCTATACTTTGCATATATCACTCATTTCACATCTTAAACGGCTTTCTACAATCTTTGGACAGTACACTTCACAGCTTACAGTATAGGTCTTGTGTAAACGTGGCGGGTGACTTAAATATCAATCTGTTAGCTAACGACACTGATTTGCAGGTATCTGATTACTTATGCCTAATGGCTTCTCACGAGTTGTTGTCGGGCATTTCAGAGACTACTAGGGGAGATACATGCTTGGACCACATTTTCATTAAACGCAAACATGTTATTTCAGCAGCTGTATGCAAATGCTTCTTGACTGATCACTATATGCTTATGGTAGGTGTAAGCTTTGCTGAAAATAAACCTAAATCGAAAAACAGGCCCAGAAATATTGTTGATATCGGCGCAATTAATTTGGACCTTCGCGGTATGAACTGGTCGACAATAACTGGCTGTGAAGACGTCAACGAGGCCACTTTTAATTTTGACCAGATTATACAATCAGCTGTAGGCAGACATACTAGTAAAGTAAAATTGAGTCGCACTAAATAAAACATCAAACCCTGGATTACTCCCGGGCAAATGAAATGTATGCGACACAGAGACCATTTGCACAGTCAGGTCCGTGCGAACCCCAATGACGTCGTGCTTAATCTGACCTACAAACGATATCGCAACTTTTGTAATGACCTGCTGCACCGACTCAAGGCTGAGCACGAGAATGGAGAGCTAAAACACCACAAGCGGAATCCTAAAAAGCTTTGGCAGGCAATAAAAAACGTTTGCGAGGTCCCCCAAAAGAGTAAAGATTCTGAGGAACTTTTGAAAAGTGATGTTGACATCAAATCTTCATTAAATTTCTGTAATAGTCTCCTCTGGTAGAAAGTTAGCTGATCAAATCCTGTCTAAGCTTTCAACTTCAGAGGTCGAATTGAGTGCTTCCGTTGGGACTCCCAATCATCTGCTTAACTCTTTCTTCTTTAAACCAACTGATTCATTGGAAATCAAGAGGGGGTTTACGTAGTGATAGTGCGTCGGGGGTTGACGGATGTACCCCTCTTCCTATTAAATCTATTACAGAGACAATTTTGATTCCTCTTACTCATATTTTCAACCTTAGTCTTAGTAAGGGCGTATTTCCTGGCAGATGGAAGTGTGCGGTTGTAAGTCCGATTTACAAAGCTGGACCAAAGAATAATCCGGATAATTACAGTCCTATATCGCTCCTAAAATCTTCTCAAAGCTTCTTGAGAAGATAGTTAATATCCGTCTGCTGAAGTATATCGAGAAGTTGAAGCTAGTTTCTGATAGACAGTTTGGGTTTAGGGTAGGGAAGTCCAGTGAGGATGCTATTAATCTGCTGATAAATCAAATTTCATTGAAGGTGGATATTGGTAAATTGGTCTTGGTATTTTTCTGGACCTTTCTAAGGCCTTTGACACCATGTCTAGACAAATATTGTTGAAGAAGCACGAAGGTTTTGGAATCCGTGGTACTGC